ACCTATCCAAGCCTTCCAACCATTTTTTTACATTCATTATCTTGATAGAAAAATTAACTTTTTTGTATATATCTTTTTTTCTTGTGTTTTTCTTTATTTGAAAAATTCTAACAGAGCATGATTCATTACCGACTAGAAGCTAACGTGCAGAGTCACCACGCCGGAAGTGTCAAACCCCGGGCTCACAAGCCCTCAGGTCACCCTCGAGGCACACTATACATTGTTTATCATTTATTAGTTCAATCAGTTTTGTTGTGCTGCCTATTTGTGGCAAAGAGATCGGACATTCGATTATATTTTTAAATTTATTTATATCTTATGAGTATGATGCTTTTGACTAATTAAAATAATTGAGTGGTGAATATGCAGCTTCCAATACCACCATTAAGAAAAGACGTGGACAAACCATGGGCAAAGGTATTATGAAGGCATTCCAGGCTTGTGGAAAAAAAATGAAGGTAACTGTGGATCCATCGATTGGAAGACCTAAAAGTAGAGACGAGTCTTCAAAGTTTTCTAGTCAGATTGGTGTAGTCACCAGAGATGTACTTCCGGTGCCAGTAAGGTGGAAAGATGTTGATGAAGAAAAAGATCTTCAACCTGGTATTGATCATATAAAGGTAAAAATTAGAAACACTTTTCAAGTCGCATGAATACATTATTTATTTCACCTTAAATAATCTCATTTTTATTTGTGTAGATCCACATGGATATTAATTTAGATGATCCGGGTGTAAAACGTTGCGTGATTGATAAAGTCCAAGCTAGTTCACGCCAAAAACGTTACAGACTGCATAAACATTACAAGAAATATTCGTCCCATGAAGAAGCTAAGAATAACAAGCCCTCTTTTTGTGCTAGTCAAGAAAATTGGGAAGATATGTGTGAGCTTTTTGCCTCGCCTAAATTCAAGGTAATGCATTATTAACATTATTCTTCTATTTTGTATATTAAATTTGTAGTTTTCATATTTTTTGTTTTCTCCAACCACATTACTTATGATTTGACAGCGCCAAAGTTTGATTAATGTGACGAATCGACAAATGTTGCGTGCTCCACATGTTTCAGGCCGAACACCTTTTAGTGTTCTTCGACATGTTGAATATATTAATTTATTTATTATCAATAATTTTTATTTCTTTTTGAATTTAAACTCTTATGCTTATTTTATGCTTACGGTTAGAAATTCTTATAGTCTGAGAAGGAGATGAATGGAGGACCACTAGATATGATTGAGCTTTATAAGCGTACGCATTTTAAGGAAAAAGGTGGTTGGTCAACAAAAGAGGCAGAAGAAAATTGGGTAAGTTGCATGCACAATCTCCTATTCTAATTGTTGAAATGAGTAATAATATGATTATATAGTTTTTATTGGTATTTGTCAGGACTTGATGATATCAAGGAGAGAAAAATATTCTGAACAAGGCGTTGAGAAGAGTGCACAAGATATACTTCTTGAGGTTCTTGGCCATGGAGCTGGATATATAAAAGGTTATGGGTATGGCCCGAGGCCGCCAAGTAGACGCAAGGCATATAACTCAAATGGTCAGAAGGAGCTTCTAGAGACACAAGAAAAGCTGCGTGAGAAAGAATCGGAAATGATTGAGCTTAAGGATCAAGTTAGTGATTTGCATGCAAAAGTAGACAAACTTATGGCTTTTATGGCTGCCAATGGGAACATAATTTGAGATTGTTAGCTTTGTTATTATTATTATTATTATTTTTTTGGAATATTTTGAGATTGTTAGTTCGTTTATTGAAATTTTAATTAGCAAAATTATTATTATTGTCATTTTTTAATTTATCTTCTGCAACATATTATCACCATATGTTATTTATAAATTGTCACTGTATTTTTTTTTCATGATAATTGTTTGGAGTGACGATAGTTTTGTCACTGTATTATATATTTCATGACAAATAAATTTATCACTAAATATTTGCAATTAATGACAATTATTATATTTGTAATAGTGACAATTTTAAATTGTCATTTAAAATATTTTTTTGACAGCATGTAATCGTGGTGTATTTGTTTGGATTTGTCACTATATGAAATGTTAAAATGACAAAAAATTTTGTCGCTAAATATTTACCTATTCATGACAACTTATGTTGTCATTATATCTCAATCTTTTGATGACAAACTTTTTTTTTTGTAATCATAGAGATAATAATTTACGACAAAAGAATTCGTCGTTGTTGTATATTTTTTGAGACGATAAATATTTCGTCACTACTCATATTTTTTTGTGACACTTTTGGTATCGTCATATTTAAAATTTATTTTTGTGACGACCAATATTTTGTAATTATAAAACAACTCTTTCATGACGAATTCTATGAAATATGACGATTATTTTAACGAAAATGCCACAAATATATTCGTCACTGAAATCTTATAAATTCGATAAAAAAAATAAAATTCGTCACTAAACAATAATACTTCGATGACAAATTTAAGTTTTTGTCATCTAAAACTTGTTTTTTTATGACGAAATAATCATTTACATGACAAAATTTCCATAATAAACGTGACGAAATTATTGTCACAAAAAGTGACGAAATATCATGACGAAACTAATAAACGTCATTGAAAGTTAAACATTTGGTCACAAATTCAAAATTTGTCACCTATACCTTATATGACGCGGCTACAGTGACGATCGCTGTGACGAAAAAAATTCGTCATCATTGTACTTTTGTGACAAAAAACAAGGCTTACATGACGAATTTTTTCGTCGTCTTTTGCGAAATTTCTTGTAGTGATATTTAACCATATTTATCTACATACCTTAACTCATAATCCACATTTTATCTAAGATTGAGCTTGAACATTATTATATTTTTTAATAAGTGGTTTTCTTCTATTGTCAAATCAATTTTATATTAAATCATATTTATCTACATACCTTAACTGATAATCCACATTTTATCTAAGATTGAGCTTGAACATTATTATATTTTTTAATAAGTGGTTTTCTTCTATTGTCAATCAATTTTATATTAAACCATATTTATCTACATACCTTAACTCATAATCCACATTTTATCTAAGACTGAGCTTGAACATTATTATATTTTTTAATAAGTGGTTTTCTTCTATTGTCACTTTCAAACATAATCACATTAAACAATATTTATCTACATACCTTAACTCATAATCCATATTTTATCTAAAATTGAGCTTGAACCGTAATTTCATTTCACTGCTCTAGTAATTCATTGGGCGGGATTTTTTCCCTCCTTAATTTCAGGTATGCGTGCGATTTTAATCGCACATTGTTCGCCGTGCTGCGAAATAAAGATTGGCAGGTTGCGTCTTTTCGTCTCGCAAAATGACAGTTGTTTTACGGAAAAGGTCGCCTCTTCTCCGAAACGACGTCCCCTCAGTCTTCGGCGCATTAAAAATAATTAATTATATTTTACGTATTTTTTTAACCAGATATGCGAAATCAAATGCAATTGATTGTCAATAAGTTATGAGAATGAAGTGCGATTCATCGCATTTGTTCGCAGTTTTGCGAATTTGAAGAGTCGCCTCTTCTCCGAAACGTCCCCTCAGTCTTCGGCGCATAATAACGGCGCGCATATCAAGAAGGATAGAAATTTTCTTGAGTATATCTTCTTTAACCAGATATGGGAAATCATTTATTGTCAATACGTTATGCGAATGCAGTGCGATTCATCGCATTTTGTTTGCAGTCTACGAATTTGAAAAGTCGCTCCGAAACGTCCCCTCAAGTCTTTGGCAAATTAATAACGGCGCGCGTATCAAGGAGGATAGATATATTCTTGATTAACCAGATATGCAAAATCATTTATTGTCATAAAGTTATGCGAATGAAGTGCGATTCATCGCATTTTATTCGCAGTTCTGCGAATTTGAAGAGTCGCTCCGAAACGTCTTCTCAGTCTTTGGCAATTAATAACGTCGCGCGTATCAAGGAGGATATCTTCTTGAGTCTTCTATAAAAGGTAGCTGAGATGAGACAATTGAATTAGGATCAGGACCATTTTCTCAACATTCTTCAACTCTCGCTTTCCTCAACATGCCGGTCAATGAAGTCTCTTCATTGTACGGACACGTTGAGAAAAATCGAAGGTTGAAGAATTGAGAGATGGGTCCTGATCCTCCTTTTGTCTTTGAGGGTGCGCTCCCTTTCACTGTCGTAGCCTCCTCAATCTAGTATACCTCGGAAGTCCAAGCACTCTCCTTGGAGATCCCACGCCTTCCCAGGCACATGGTCGTCTCACATTGTAAGCTAAAAAAAATTGGAGGCTGAAAAAGTTGTAGGTGACCATGTGTTTGGGTAGGCGTGGAATCTCCTGCGAATTGCTTGGTCTTCCGGGGTTTACTAGATTGAGGCGCCTACGACGGTGAAAGGGATCACCCCTTCAAAGGCGAAGGTGCTTGTTCTTCCCCGTATACTAGATTGAGCCTTTCAAATGTTTATCGAAAGTCAAACATGGCTTGACGAACACATTCATCTTGCGGACCAACTTGTTTAGCCCTCCATGTTCCTCCAGCTTCGGCACAGTCATCCAATTGGTTCTGATCTTTGAAGCTGTTCTTTTTTTTTTGGTACATTTGAAGTTGTTCTTCAACTCGCTGTTGTAGCCTCCTCTATCTAGTAATTTGTGTGACGTTGTAAGGTTACTTGTAAACTACTTCACAGTCGATGTAAAATAGTTGAGTACATGTAAAATTGCGACGTACATGCGTCGCATATTATTCGCCTATAAAAAATTAGTTGATGTAAAGTAGTTGAGTCGATGAAAAATTACGACATATACGTCGCATATTATTCGCAGAATTGGTGTAAAGTAGTTGAGTCGATGCAAAATTACGACATATACGTCGCATGTTATTCACAGAATTGGTGCATTTAATTACTCGAAACATTTTTGCATATACGTCGCATATTATACAACTCGCTTTATTTATTTAAGTTCTGTCAGTGATTTAATAATAAATTGAAGAAAACTACTATTAGGCGAAAGAACCTGCGATTATTACTCGAAACATTTCCGCATAAAAAATGCATAACTCGAACTATAACGAATAACATATTTTTTTTATATTTGTTTTTGTAAATTTTATATTTCCCGACGTAAAAAAGTTGCGACATACAAACATCCCATATTTTCCGAATAGTTGATAAATTTTGGAAAATGTCTTTGACTAAATTAATAATGAATTGAAAAAAAACTATTTGGTGAAAAAAAGTTGTGCGTAACACTTTACGAAATGTGTTGGCATATTGATACATTTATGCGAGGTTTTATATGGATATGCGATTCGTAAGTATGCGATAACAATACACATAATCGATAGTTATCTACTATCTACCCTTATAGATTTGGATATGTGAATCTTAAATTATGCGAACATATGTCGCATAATCCTAAATGATGCGTTTGATTGATCTGGCCTGGATATGTGATTGAAAACTATAAATTACTTTTATTTTTTCATTACGCTATGCGAACACAATGCAAATTATCGCACTTTATTCACAGTGTTGCGAATAATAATTTCCCTTCGAGTATTATCGCTGATTTTGCTGGCAAAACTCTGTTGACGGATATTAATGGTTTCATTGTCCATGCAACATATTGTTTTGTTTTGACATA